AGAGATTGGGTATATACTGGTGCCAGAAACCCCAAGAATATAAACAACTCACCCAATGGTCAGAGAAAGAAATGCAGAACTGCATTTCCATCTACCTGGGGGTGCCCAAGTTTGGTTCCTGTGGTTAAGGGGTGGCTATATCATTTGGCCAGTAACAAACTGTGCTGGTATTGTGCATCCTGGATAATCTTAATCCTTAATGTAATTCAGAAGCACCCCGAAACGACCCCCAGAGCAATCACAGCATGTCCCACAGAAGAGTGATGGGCAACCTGGAGAAGTGTTATTTCCCACCTCTGAACTTCTCTCACACCAATCTCTTTTTTGACCTCTCTGCAATATGTGCTACATGTCTTGTGGACCCTTGGCCAGAAGAAAGATCTGTTACACATCCCATCAGCTGGAGAAGTTATTGTTGCTAAATACTGTTTTGGTATGTCCTGCACTGTGTAACATACAGGAGGTTTTCTTCTTAAATGATTTCTAGGTATTTGCATCCTTTTTGAACTCTTGGGAACAGAGAACATCTTTTCTGATGCTTGGACAAATCCTAGCTCAATATAGCAAAAGCTTTTAAAATATTACATTATTATTATTAATAAGTCCTATGGCTTAATAAAAGCTTTTAACTTACAATTTAAGAAAATAGCAAGAGGAAAAAGAAAATAAGTCTAATCTTCGAAAATGAATAAACCACAAATCAAACATTTTCAGCAGCTATGATGATTATAGTCTTGACTTTAAGATTCTAAGCCAAACAGTTTGATCAGTTGGGTCAAACTCTACATTTAGACGTCTAAATTACAAGCCAAACAAGGATCTTTCTCCATTAGCCAGCCAAGGAAGTGAGACTATAAAGACTTACTAGTCAAGATATGTGAATTGACATTGGGGGTTTTATTATTCTGATTAGGAACAGGAAAATTCCTATTCCATTTTGTAATTAAAACAATACACATTCCACCATCTAATTACATTTGACATTTTCAAGGTGTTGGGAGCTGAAGTCTATAATTACAGAACTACTGCTGCCTTAAGCAGAACACTCCATAAATATTCATATATTAAATAGCCAGTTACACTGTTTGGAAGATTTTAGAAACATTTGCTTTTTTTTTTTAAAGAAATGTTAGACTTTTAGAAGATCCATTTTATATTTGTAATTTTAAAAAGATAGGAAGAAAAAAAATGTCCTGTGGGATCTGACATACTGTATATAGCAAATTGACTACAAACCTATTCATTAGTATTGTTAGCAATTATGTTGGAGATTCATAGTCCCTTCAAATTACTTTTTTTCTTTAGCAGAATGGGTAATTACAGTTAGAAATAATATGGCAGTCCTGTAGTGAAGTCATAAGACAGTAAAATGCGGTTCTTACAATTCCTTGATTTTGTAGTTAATAATAAAATTATAGCTTACACACAATAGTTTTTTTAAAAAAAAAGTTTTCCCTGTCTTTTGTTACAGGGTCTCACAATAAAATATCCCTTCATGTATTGCCTATTTTTGATAGTTGACTATTTCTGTTTGTCGTGGTTTAACCCCAGCCAGCAGCCAAGAACCACACAGCCTCTCACTCACTCCCCCACCCATGGGATGGGGGAACGAATCAGAAGGGTAAAAGCTATGAAAACTCATGGGTTGAGATAAAGACAGTTTAATAGAGAAAGCAAAAGCTGCACACACAAGCAAAGCAAAACAAGGAATTAATTCACTGCTTCCCACAGACAGGAGGTGTTTAGCCATCTCCAGGAGAGCAGGGCCCATCACACGTAACGGTTCCTTGGGAAGACAAACACCATCACTCCAGATGTTCCCCCTTCCTCCTTCTTCCTCCCACCTTACATACTGAGCATGATGTCCTATGGTATGGAATATCCCTTTGGTCAGTTTGGGTCACCTGTCCCAGCTGTGTCTCCTCCCAGTCTCCCATGCATCCCCAACTTCCTTGCCAGCGTGGCAGTACGGAAAGCAGCAAAGGCCTTGGCTCTGTGTAAGCTCTGCTCAGCAATAACAAAAACATCTCTGCATTATCAACTCTGTGTTCTGCACAAAACCCAAACATAGCCCCATACCAGCCTCTGTGAAGAAAGTTAACTCTACTTCAGCTCAAACCAGCACACTGTTTGAAACAGTTGCCTGCCTAAGAATACCATGACCAAAGTGGAGTTGGACTTGTGGGTAATGCATAGCTTATTGTTCAAGGAGAGACTTTGCTTTTCCTGATCTAGAGAAATGGAAAAATACACATTGAAGATGAAACTCTGCATGCAAGTTGGTCCACATGTGTGCCTGCTCTGTGTTTCCATTCTCGCAAGTGAATCTTTGGGGACATCATGATAAAAGGGCATAATTTCTGAAAAGAAGGTCAATAGGCACTCTGCCTGTTTTGTCCATTCAGCTCATTGGAATAGGTCTGTGTCCTGTTAAAAGATGCTGTGCCCCATGGGACATAGACCCTGGCTAAGTCATTAGGTATGATGTTCAAATAGTTAATAATAAAAGATATTGCATATGTTTCAAGTGTTAAATGCTGTGCAGAAGGGAAGTTGCAATATGTGTGAGTTCAAATGCTGTGCAGAATTTCAGTGTCCCAGCAAGAGCAGCAGAGACTCAGTGCAAGCTCCCTGCACACCAGGACAGCTCGCACTGTGCAGCCTTCAGTCCTGGAGGCCCCTTGTCCCAGTCAGGTCCACGGTCTCCATGCAGGCAGGTGTTGAAAGAAGGGCACCCAGTTCTACAACAATCTAAATAATTCCCAGAGTATGATGAGTTTAGGGAACTCCTCTTAAATCCTGCACATCTGTATAATGGCTGAAGCAGTCTAGTGCCTGTTAACTAATCATGCATGCTTGCATTAAGGTTAATCAGGGGCTGCATCCAGCAGGAAAGGAGGAGCAGTATTAGATAATGCATCCAGCTAAAGAACTGGGCTGCTTCCTGTGATGGGCAGGAAGCAGGACTCAATTTACTGCCATTGTATATAATTATTCCATACATATTTATGTCAGATTATATGATAGCTATATGTTATGTCTTCACATAATATGTATTACATATTGTGTATGTTATATGCTATGTATAATATGACTGTAAGTGCACATACACACACTACTTAGTGAAGCAAACTTCCTAGATGCCTGTTGTTATTTTTGTAATGCTCACAGCACTTAGGGATGCCAATACACATTCCCTCCCTTTCTACACAGTCACAGCCTCTATACTACATGACATTACAATGAAATCAACTTGAACACAGACAACCAGATAAGAAAAATTCTTCTATTCTCCACCTTCTTCAGATTTTGCTTGGAACATTTTGAAGACACAACTCACCTTCAAATCTGTCCTTCAGCACATCAAAGATAAACTTTCTTTTTAAACAAAAATTAAATTATATTAAAAGACATTTCAATTAAATTTAGCTAGAACCCTCTTTCTTTAATCACTCAGAATTACATTTTATGCACAAAAAGCCTACATTTTAAAAGGCCAGTGCTTAAAAATCTGAAAATTGGCAGTTAATGCAAGAAACCATTGTCCCTCTGCCATGTATAGCAGATTTTCTTTATCATTTTTTCCAAACAAATATTGATACCATTTTACATCTGCATTTTGATTGTTATGTAGAATGGGATGAATGACATTCATTTAAATCAATCACATTTTTGTAAATGAGAACCGAACATTCCAAGAATAAGATAATCTAAGTATGCCTGAAATTATGTTAGGACAATCACTATTTCTCATAATCTCAGATGTAAAAGAGGAGGTGTTGGTTTTTTCCTCAAGAGATGTGATACAGCCTTATCAGATTGTTGTGATTTTATCTAAGTGAATCTATTTAGTAATTGCAAGCTTTTACTTTTCTGTTGCAGCTAACAGTGAGGAAAAGTTAATGTGATAGCCAGTTAAAAGCAAACAAAAGCCAAAAGGAAAGGAAGCAGATAGGCAGTTCACACCATATTAACCAGTTATTAACTATAGGTACCTTCTTTGCAGTAGAGTCATTGCATCTCAGTGCAGGAGCAGGAAATTGTTCTAATGTGGCCATGTTTGGGGAATCTCTGGAAAATAACAAACAAAAAGTGGTTTTGAGCATTTACCAAGAGGATACAGGGAATAATCACGTGCTGCTGGTCAGCTCTGCCCCAATGCCCACACTGGAGGCAGAGCTGCCCTCTCTGTTCACTTGTAAACCAATGGCTATAAAATGCCTTTTTGCGACTTCTTCTCTTGAATTATTTCCTACTGCAGAGACTTACTGGTTGAATCTGTGCTTTCAGGAGCTGGTGGCAAGCTGGGGTGAATTTATCCCTGGAAGGGCCAACTTCGCTCTTAATAAATTACTGGAAGTAATTGCGAAGGATAAAATCACTAAATAGCTAGAGGATGAAAGAATTGTGAACCACAGTCATCATGGTTCTAAACAGACTGAGTGTTGCCAAAGTTAATTGCTTTTTTTGATAGAATTTCAAAATAGATGTGCAAAGGCAGAACACTATATTATCATGTATTTAGATTCTAGGGAAGCACTGGATACTGATTTTCATTAACTATTACTTTGAAACTTAATGCAAACTGGCTTTGATATAAAGACAGTCATAGACATGACAGAGAGTTGCTAAAGGACCATAAAGGGTGATTGATGAACAGCAGAACGCTGAGGCCCCACATGGGAGACTGCAGTCCTGGTACTTTCTTTTTAAAAAAAATTAAAATCAAAGTTTGACTATTAATGATTCATAGATGAAAAGGCTAAATTATGTGTGCTGAAGATTGGACTGGGTGCTTTGACTAGCTTGGTAGACAACAGGGTTATTGATATCAACTGAACATTATCATATCTCTAGAGAGGTAATTATTTAAAGATAGTAAAATGGATATGACAAGGAGCAGTGAGATGTAAATAGCAAACATCACAGAGATTTATTAACAGACTATGTTGTCTTTGCAAAAGCATTGCTATTCCATTTCCAAACGGTAATTTGTTGCTTTCTTCTCTTCTAGTTGCCCATATTGGCATCTTCTGTTGTTAGCCTCTATTTTCTTGAACTCACTGATGTCTTCAAGCCAGTTCACTCTGGATTTAATTGCTATGACAAGAGTCTGAGTATGCCATATATTGAACCCACACAAGAGTCTGTTCCCTTCTTGATGTTGCTTAGTCTGGTTTTTGCTGGGCCATCAATTACGGTAAGTTTGAGGTTCCACTATCAGTTAATAAAGATGTTGAACAGAATTTCAGTTAAGAAAAAGAAAAGAGCTCCTTTGGTTTCAGTTAGGCTGCAGAGTGTCACCCAAGCAAATTACCTTATGATTTGAAATTCATGTTTCGTTCTCCTGTAACAAAAGGAGATACTCCTTAAAACATTCTCTGTAGTACATACCCTCACTATCCTAATTGTGGGCATTAATGTTAAGAAACAGCATCTACAGTCAGGTGAGAGCAGCTTTAGTCATTCTGCTACACTGTACAAATATTTGAACTTTTACAGACATGACATCTCCATACTCTGACATACATCAAAAATTCAAGATCTTGTTGGAAATTGAAGCCTTTCACAGCCCTGAACTTGCCACTTGTTAGAACTAGCTTTATTCAGTGAGAAGGTACATCAGTCTTGTCAGTGAACTCAATTACATTTTCCCAAATAGCACTGGAACACCTCTAAATTGCAAGTTAGTCATTAAGAGCAGACAAGAGGGGGCTGGTTTAATCATTCACCCAGAGGAGATGATTTCAGCAGAACAGAAATAGTCTGTCAGAGTATGAGCAGTTTGGTCACTATTTTACAGAAAAAAAAACAAACCAAAAAGTATTAATTGTCTTATACAGGTGAGTATTCTCCCAGCTGGAATCGATGTGTTAAATTAAAATGAAATCTAAATACTTTATATATATAAGTGTGTATGGAAGAGGGAATTAATTTTGTCTGATTTTAGCAGTTCAGAATGGAGCCTTATTCTCACACCACTCCTGTCTGGCAAATGGAGAGAGAAATTCACCTTGAGTGGGTGATTCCATGCACCTAAAAAGCTGAATCAGCATTTTAAAAGGATCTCTTCTCTCCCCCAACAGCAATGACTACACATCTCAGTTAGACACTTCTTGAAGACCAGCTGCAAATGTGTCTCTGCTGCCAGCTCCTCTGAATCTTCTTAAATTCAAGCAGTTCATTCCTTTTATAATACTAGCCAATTTACAGTTAAAAAGCGTAAAAATACGATGCCCATATAAAAACCACCAAGTGCTGTTGTTTCTTTTCTTTCCAGAATGACTTTTGTTTATTTGTTTAGTGGTTTTCTTAATTGAATTCTTCTTACTGCATTTCATTTTGGTTGCTTTAGAAACCATTTTTGAAGGATCCTGCACAACCAGCAAGCTAAAAATTGTACTCATTTAGGAACTGGGAGCTGAGACTCTCAGAGATCCTGGTACAAGTTCTTGCTGCAAACACCAGATAGTGTGACAGAAACAAAATGTTGCTATTGCAGCTTGGCTGGGTTTCTTAAGGTTAGACAGTTTTTCTGCTAAAACCAAAGTGGACTTTCCTGAAATAGCTATAGAAGGAATCTATATAGGCTAACTTTGGCTACAGTAGGGGACTAGAAGCTGAGTTTTACTTCAGAGGGTTTATGTCAAGCCTAGGTAATATCAAACACCTTAAACTGAGATAAAAGATGCCCATTTCATCATGTAGTATTTATTAATAGCTTTGATTACAGCTAAATTATTTCAGTATTGCATAAAATTTTGCAATAGAAAATGTTACTCTTGCTTGAATCATTTTACCAGCAGGACAGAAAATCAGTCAAAAGCATGCCATGTGAGGAGCTCAAACCCACACTTGAGCATGCCTATAAAAAATAAGTCTGGTAAACAAAGTAAATCCCAAAGCTTCAAAGTACAACTGGCTAAAAGCTGCAGGCCTTAGCAAGGTGCAGTTCATTTGTCTTGGTGTGGGCATGAATGTGATGTGTGTATTAGTTGGAGACTGAGCAGTGAATGTGCAGAATACACAACTTCCTTCAATAAAGGCACTGAAGGCAATAGTTTCTTTTTATTTGATACCACTTCTGAAGTAAAAAGCCAGGGGACTTTTTTGTCCAATTCTTCTCTTTTTCTTTAGAAAAATAGGCCAAAAAAGCTCAGTGTAAAAAAAACATTACAATTGTGCCATTGTCTTGTAGAGTTTAGCATTCTGTAAGTTAGTTTTCATTAACATTTCAATTAATTACACACTTTATAACATCTGTAAAATATAGAAAAGAAAGCATGAGCTATGTGAGGAACTGAGGATCTCAAGTCATGTAGCAGATCCTGGCCTTGGTCTGCACTTAGGTACTTAGCAGTATGAGGCAGGAGGTCATCAAAACTCAATAAAACACAGGTGTGATTAGGCCACATTTCAAATATTAGCAGAGAATGTAAATAAGGAAAAAAATAGAAAAGATGTGTGTTATAGAAAAGAAAGCATGAGCTATGTGAGGAACTGAGGATCTCAAGTCATGTAGCAGATCCTGGCCTTGGTCTGCACTTAGGTACTTAGCAGTATGAGGCAGGAGGTCATCAAAACTCAATAAAACACAGGTGTGATTAGGCCACATTTCAAATATTAGCAGAGAATGTAAATAAGGAAAAAAATAGAAAAGATGTGTGTTGTGTACTTCCTTAAAGCCTTATATAAATATTAGAATAGGAATTGTTTTCTTTATTATTTTTGTTGATATAATTTTTCCCAAGACTGGAAAACATATAAATCTATTCAATCTATAGTTTTTTGGTTTTTTTTTACTAAAATCCCCTGACATTTTATAATTCTTTTTCCTAAGCCTTCTTTAGAGATGGATCTGTGTGGCTTTATGGTTTGGAGTTTTTTTCCTTTGGGTTTTTTTGCTCATTATTAGTGAGGAACAAATGCTTTTAAACAGGTCTGAAGGGTTACAGAACATTAGTGCCTGTATTATTGACGTATGTCTTATAGCTTGTGGCATAGATGAAATTTTGTATATGTATTCACAAACCACAGGTGACTTCTGCATGGAGCAACTGGACTTGAAGACATTACCAATATGGATATTGTATGTCTGAAATACAGATATACCTGAATTACAACATTACTTCCATTTGAAGTACGGAAGATCCTCTGGCAAATTTTTCTTTCCAGTTACTCAGTCAAAAGTGTTAGGACCACTAACACTTTAACCATATCAGTGTAGATTCAAACCCTTATCAGCCACTAAGAACCTGCTTAAAGGTACCAATGTCCTTTCTAACAGAGATCACCAGGAAATGAGAAATTTTCATCTGAGAAATCAATTCACAAAGAGTGAAATTCACTGCTGGCAGTTTCAGTCCTACTGCCTCCTCTACTGTGCTAGCTTGTTTCTTTGGAAATACCAGCCTCTGAATTTTCCTTGACATAGGCCTTGTTTCCCAATTTTTTTCTTCTATCACACAAGCTAATCAGTCCGTCTGTCTGGTGTTTTCCCTGTACCAGACATTCCCTAGAGCTTGGCTAAGAACTATTAGTTTCTCTGTTTTTTAAGTTTGAAATATTACTGATGTCTCTGGGAAGTTTCAGCTAATCAAATGGAGACAGGTAATAGTGACCATAGTTCTCAGGTAATAACAATTCCTATAAAACTTTAGCTAAAATAGAGTTAGACTATGCTTGTCCATTTTACCTCCTCCTAGGGTGAGGAGGACAACTTCACTACAGGCAGATTCAGCATAACTCAGATGCTTTGACATCTCATTGCATCGTAAGCTTTGCGCATTGAGTGTATTAGTTTTCGTTGCAGCTGTGGATGGACACCATTTTTTGTTTGAATTTTTCTCTTTATAAATTCTTGTCTAGGGCTTTGGTCGTGATCTGTTTTGCTTGATGTGTTCAGAGGGACCATAAGGGCAGAACTTTTTCTGCTGCTGTGGATCTGGTTAAAACTCAAGCCAAATTAAACAAATACAGAAGAGCAGGCTGTCACATAATTAGAAGCTGCTAGAGATTGCTAGGCTTGCAGCCAAGACTGAATGCTAAAACCATCTCAGAAGCACTAAGATATTGCAGTGGTTCTGGATTATTTTAGAGGCAAGATATTATAATTATTACTTTTGACATCGTAGAAGCATCAAATTTCAGCTATAGACCTAGTCCTGGATACCAATGAGCAGTATATACTTTATGCCATTTGCATTTAATTTCAGGGCCACTTTCTTGCCTGTCCTCACTCAGGCTAAGTTGCATTACTTTATGTTCACATATTGATAAAAATCTTTTAAAAGCAAGTACATGTCAGTGGATGACATTGGTTGTTGTACAGTCAAATTTCAGCCCTTTAAATTCAATCAGGGTCTTCTAAGTGCTATGTTTAATTTAATGGCTCCTTTGTCATTGCAGATAATGATAGGAGAAGGAATTCTCTACTGTTGCCTGTCCAAAAGAAGAAATGGGATTGGAACAGAGGCCAATATTAATGCAGGAGGATGCAACTTCAATTCTTTTCTTAGAAGAGCTGTCAGATTTGTTGGTGGGTTTCAAATATTAGTCACAAAGAAGAGCTTTCCACATACATTCAATTTTCACCATGCAGGTTTCCTTCTCTGAAACAACCTTTCAGAACAATGCAGGGCTGTCACTGCCATGGATCTGCTAGAAAATCTGAGACAAAACGGTCAGACTACGACAGAGCAGCCCCATACTCAGTAAAGCAGCATCTCTCTGTTTTCCTTTTCCTCTCCTGTATGATTGTCAGTATTTCTAAAAGATTAATTTGTTTTTCCTTCCCTACCCACCTTGAGCTGCCTGCCTTTTAATTGTTTCAGTGTATGGTTTCCTCTGCCTGTCTTCAGTGCATCATAAGGATTCAACCCACCTTGTCAGAGTATTCAGCATGACAGCAAAAACTTGCCAGAAACTCTCAGTAGGTTTGACATTCTCTTTCTGGAATGTGTTTATCTGCCTCTCAAAAAAATCTGGCAATTTAATGATAGAGGAAAATGTTGAATTGCGTTGTTTTAATTGTCATTTATGAAAAACTGAACTTGAAAAGGCAACTGGACTTTGATTCTCTTCTTGCAATTAGTTTCCTCTACCAGTGAGTGGGTAAAGGGAAGGTTTACTCTGTTTCAGAAATTTTTCATTAAGAGAGAGCAGGCTAGGCAGAGACAACCAGCAGGACAGCAGACTGAAAACCTGGTGTGACAGCTACAGGGTTGCTGTAGACTGGCAACCAGGGAGGTAATGACAAGCAAAGTTATACAGCACATGACCAGCATCCTCTTAACAGCAGCAGTGAGGAAGTAAGCAGAGGGTTGGTAGATTACAACATGAGCAAGGAGGACTGTAAAGATAGTCCATGCTCTCCACTTCTCCTCCTGTTTGGTATTCCATCACCAAAAAAGACAAGCTCAAAGACACATGAATTTTATTCCTGATTCATGCACTTGATTTGCAGTTTCTTTCTTATTTTAACAACTTTAACATTCTTTGAATTTTAAGATGAAAAATAAATTTATCTATATGAATACAAGTAGGGAATTTTAGATAAATCTTTAGGAGAAAAGCAGTTGGAAATGTTCAGTAAAGCAATTGCATTTACTTCAATTGCATTGTGAATCTGACATTATTAAATCTGACAGAATCATTGATCCGTTATGAAATAGACTTAAGTATTTGGATTCATGGCAAGGACACAGTACTCAAGAGGTGTGAAGGTAGCCAGAGCTGTCACCAGCTGGTGACTCTGTGGTGGTAAAAAGAGAACAGGCCTTCAGAGCAGTGATCTAGTGGGCAGCTATCCATGTTATTAAAAGCCTGTATTCCAGTGGGAAAGTCCAAAGACTGGATGAGCACACATGCTCTCCTCAAATAGTTGGCTGTCCTTTAGTCAGTTCAGGAAACTTCTTTCCAAATTGAAGCAGCTCCAGTCTAGTTCACTTTTATGAAAGATGTCGGAGAACATCAAGCCAAAATGTTAAGTATCAACGGGAAGAAAACAAGCATAAATTATCTTAATTTTTTTATATGAAAGGATTGAACTTTTCAATAGGATTTCATAAAAAAGTACATCTTTTTCTTCAGTTTAATTCTCTCAAGTCCATTACACAAGCCACCAGAGTTATGTTGAATGTATTTTGCACAAGTAATTAATCCAATTAATGCATATAATAAATTTAACAAGCTCTGTTGATTTCTTTCCTAGGTGTTCATGTGTTTGGTCTTTGTGCAACTGCTCTTGTTACTGATATCATACAGCTATCAACAGGATATCAGGCACCATATTTCCTGACTGTTTGCAAGCCTAACTATACATCCTTAAATGTATCCTGCTCAGAGAATTCATATGTTGTGGAAGATATTTGCTCAGGAGCTGACCTGAATATTATCAATGCTGGAAGGTTGGTTCTGTCCTTCACTATGTACATTTTTTGGTATTCATTTTATTTTTTATTTTCTGCCCCAGTGTCAAGATTTATTTTTTCCTAGTTAAAGTCTGAATGGGTTTGTCGGTTCTTTTATAACAAAGGTGAGTGCATAAATGTATTTTTAGTGATGTTCAATTTTCTATATAAAGATATTAGCCTAACAGTGAGCTTTGGAAGACTTTGTCAGACTATGAAGCACAGTCATTAATTAGTAGCTAGTTATCTTCCCTCCTTCAAAGGAGACATTTTCCTATACAATTATTAATAGGTATAGCTTCTACTGCTTTTCCCAGTGAGATGTGGGCAAATTCCGCGTAACAGGCAGGGGAAGAAGTCTCCCAAGTACTTTATATGAGACCTCTGTACAACATACATTATTGTTCCAACATTTTGATCTTAGCTTCTGAGGCTTGGTTGTCGGATTTATTGGAGGAGTTTGTTTGTTTTCTGTTTCGTTGGTTAATTAAGTTTGTTATATTAACAGCATTGAAAAAAATCCCTTTATTAGAGGAAATACCACAACAGTGCAAATCTGTGTTCCCAAACACGTCTTTTCTTTCATGGTGTTTCTAACTGGTGTTTTATCCATCTTGATCATTTAGCCTTTAGACTCCCTAAAAGATGCACAGGAGAAAAATTAATATTGTTTATAATAGTAGGTTTTGAACAGGCATATCAGCCAAGCTGAGGTAGAAACCACACTATAAATGTTATGTTGAAGAAGCTCAATGTGATGAAATTGTGATAATTCAGTTACTGATGAAAGGTCATAGGTCTAAACAAGGGATCTGAAGGTGTAAGTCAATAAGTTGTAGTGTTCCAGTACATCTGCTACTTGTTAGTTAAAGGACTTTGTTAGTACAAAATGTCCTAAATATAAGCACTACACTACTGAGAAATCATGAAGGTTTTCACTGAATACAATAGTAGTCTTTCTTACCTTTTCCGCACCAGGTTAACCTTTACTACATGTTAGTCACTGAATGTTTGAATGTTTTGCACTGCTTCAAAACTTTGGTGCTTTTTTAAAATCTTCTGTTCTCCAAAAAAGTTACAGCAAAATTATGGAATGCTTGAAATGACTACAATTTGTATCTCTGGCACAGATGCATAATTGTCTGTGTACCTGATTAGTAGATATGAAGCTGTGTTTCTTCTGTCATATTCACTTCACTAAAGCTTTGCCCACCTTTCTTGCTCTGCATGCAGCCCCAGATGCTAAGCTTCTGGTTTGATTTTATGCCTCATGGCCTTTCATTTTTGTCACATGGTTATTATTAAAATATCTGTAGCTATATATTAAGGCACCTCTACCTCATTTGTTTGCTTTTCCTTTTATTTCAGTGGTTGAGACACTTAGGAATCATGAAATCATTCACTTTTTAAATATCTTCCAATGAGTCTCCTCATCTGTCTCCTTTCACTGGGACAAAGCAATTCCAGTGATGTTTAAAAACCCTCAGTTATTTAATGTATTTGGCCTTAAATATGTCTAGTGGGATATGACTGATGATCAGAAATTTGCCATATCTTTTCAGTTTATATATGTAGGTTTGATCCAGAGCTGGAATGAAGAATTGTAGCTCTATTTGTCCCAAATAATTTGGTGACAAAAATTTTGGTGAAAGGCATAATCAGAATTACTATATCGACCTTCACCTCACTGTTTCTTTTCCCATAACCATTTGCTGTTACTGGGCTACTACCATTGAAGCCTGGTGCTTGCTAGCAGTGTCGTGCAGCTGCATGGTGTCCCAGGGAAATTGGTGTAGCTTTACCCATGAGCAGGTAGAAAAATTTTCATGATGACATCTCATTCATTTCATCGTCATCTTAAATGTGATGCCTAGTGCTCTGAATTGACTGCCTGTAGCCATTCCAAACCCACCAATCACTCCTAAATTTAAATACCATCACTTCCAAAAAACCCAGTAAAATTAGTAGTAACATTTTAAGACTAAGCAATCAGGTTTGGGTGGTTTTGTTTTCTTAGGAAGATGACCATATATTGATGTCTGATAGTTATTCCCATCACAGAGGATACATTTGGTAATCTAGAATATTCTGTCACCACCCTCAGTTTCCCATTAATTCCATGTTATTGCATTTTCCCTGTATTAAATTGTTGTTTCGTTATGGCTGTCTCAACTTTAAAAAAGTGATTAGCACTTGCTACTGGTTCTTCAGTAGCACTTGCTACTTTCTTCAGTCATCTACTATAGGAATTATAGTATAACTTCTACAGTCCAGGAGGCTAATTTGACTTCAGTAATTTCAGTTTGTGAGGGACTTGTTCTGAGATTGCTAACAGCCTTCATTTTTTATTTCTACTTCTCAGAAATTTTGGCTCCAGAAATTTGCCTCTAGACTCCCCTATGAAAAGTATAGAGAAGAACACATAATCATCCAGCTGATTACATGAAATAATTTTTCTGCAACATCCCAAGTATCCAGTGGTTCCTATTGTCCATCTTTCCTCTGTCTATCTTCAAAGAGCCTTTTCAGTCATTTCTGTTCAGATCTCCAGTGAGGTCTCTATCCTCTGTCATTTCTGATGTTCTGTCTCAGTATGACACTCTCTCTCTGCATGACTCTTTCTCATTGTTGTTCACCCTCGGCACATCCTGGTGCGTGAGCATTTAGAGTAAAACACTGTCATCCAAGTTTGGGACATGTTTTCTTTGAGATCTTTGTTCACCTTTTCAATACAGAGCCATAGAAAACGGCTATGTATCTTTAGTTTGAATTATTTTCATTTTAGATTAAAAGATAACAAATAGAGGAACAAAAGCAGTGACACCATTAGAGAGTACAGAGAGTGCATTTAGTCCATGCTTGCCCTGCAAGTATATGAATAGAAAATAGAATAAAGAGAAAATTGACTGTAGCATAGTGACACACCTTATATACCATAAAAATGCCATCAAATTAAGGTTAAGTTCTGAGTGGTACTAAAATTCACAGAAACAAATCTGCACATTAGCTCCACAGAGACTGTAAGTAAATTTATGCTGCCACTAAAACCTGCAGAGGGTAAAGGAGTTGATTAGCTCTATTATAAACATTTACTCTTTTTCATGTCTTTATTCTTCTGTCCTCAATCCTGAACTTGTTCCCCAGGGATACTCTTTGAGAAAGGTTTGTTCAGGGAGGGAAAAAAAAAAAAAAAAGGAAGAGGAAGAAGAATAATTTAGGTCTGACTTTAGAGATGAACAAGGAACCATGCAGATTTCATCTTGGCCAGAGTCATGAACCTGCTGAAGCCGTGGGCTCAAATTCAGGTCAGGAGTGTGGCATTCACACTGAACTACACGCACACCTTTAACTGCTAAGTAATTGTTTAGAACACACAAGGCAAAATGATTGGGAAAGAAATTTATAAAATAGATTCTGCTGCTTTTCAGAAAAAAAGAAGTATCTGTCTAAAGTGAAAGGACTATGTTTCAGTCTTTGCTATTTTAAACTAGCTAACCCAGGTGTTGCTAGGAAAATGGCTGTACAAGAAGCCCCGTTAGGCTGGCAGGACCAATATGTGAAGCTGAATGATTGTTCAAGTATTTATCTTGAGCTGAGCTTTCTCAGGTGAGAGTTGCTGCTGTCACTGCAAGATAGAAATACCCTTCTTCATCGAGACAGCCAGCATGTTATATTACACGTCCATACCATTTTAGGGAGATAAATGTACAGATATAAACTGCTGCACATCTTCACTGCATCTTTCTTCTAGAACTCAGAGTCATAGAAGTTTTTTAGAGCTTCTACAAGCTATGATCTGGATGACGACCATGGAACAGGTGTTACTGAATCCACCACTAGCTGGTTTTCACTCTATTGTGAAAAATCTCCTTCATTTTCCCGTCGCTTTTCTTTCACTGTTTTTAGAGGTTTGAAGTGGGTCTGTAAGATGAATAATGTTAAAATGTTAGAGATCCTCATGTGATGTTTCTGTGTATCTTCTACAAAACCTCCTTTTCTTGTCAGAGAAGTAGAAGCTAAGCTGTCACTTCTCATTTTCATATCTGAAGTTTCTGACTTAAGACCCAGTCCACATCATTCAAGTCTCCAGGTGTTCAGTGGGAGCAGAAGGCCCTCAGCAATTTCAAGAATAGACTGGATATTGCCTACTCTCTCACATAGTTTGGACATATCTTCATTTATCCTCTAGTTCTGAGCATCAGGAAAGGCCCAGTAATTCTTAAAACGCCCTCTCCGTGTTCTTGTGCTCCATTAGCTTATGTCATGTTATAAAGTGCTGAAATTTTAAAAAGTAAACATAGAGACATAGCAAATAAAGATGTAGTTTGCCTCTCTCTAAGAAGAATGTTGCCCTGTCATCCCCCAATTGTTAAAGCAACAAAGCAGGGGCACGAAGATGAATGCAGTTGCTGAAATTAGGGCCTGATTATCAGTGTGCGTGAGTCCTTACTTGGAAAAGAGTCAAAGTGAATTCAGTGAGAATAATTGTAAGATCAAAGTTCACACACTTAATAAGTTTTATATTTAGGTACTATCCTGGAAATTTATTTTTAGAAATAAATATCTAGGTATTTCTCTCAATCAAGCATTCGGTTTTTGCTTTGTTCCCACTGTTCTCTTAGTATACATACTTAGTGCAGAAAAAGAATTTCACACTAAATATTTACTTCAGAATAAAGGCGTTCCATTAACATTGGTCCTTTCTGCAGATTATAGAAAAGAAATTTAGAAATTAAATGTTACTGATAGATTACATATTGCTTAAGAAGTGTAAGATGAAAATGACTGTACCACTCAGTATTTTTTCAATGAGCACTATCAGTGCAATTGAACTGAGAAGCATAATTTAAATGTCCTTCCTTGGCAGAAAGTCATTCCCTTCTCAACATGCCACCCTGGCAGCCTTTGCAGCAGTGTACATTTCGGTGAGTAACCAACTCTCTTCAGTTCCATTTATGCAAGACAGAAGTCAGAAAGTAATTTGCTGTATATTGTGAAATGATGTGTTGCCTGGATATCTTGGATGGATGTAAGTTTTTATTCTCCCAATTCCAAAGCAAAATAAAACTACTAATAGAGCTGGTTTTATTGTAGCTGTTAAAGAATTAGGAAAAGATTCAACCGCTTCACATCCTTTGTCAAAAAGCAACAGAAAGTATAATGTTAAAGTATATTTGATGCCTCATATTATTCACATATAAAATGCTGCATTTGTCTGTCTTACAGAGTGATATTTTAACTTACCATTCAAATTAACCTTTATGTATGCTGCTTTTTTTTTATTGCTCTCTTCCCTTGATTCACTGCTTTGAAACTTGAGGCATTAAGGGCCATACATTCATGTGATATAGTTTGATTTGACCTCCATAGAATTGTAGCATGGATGAAATGGCACAATCACTCCCAGAGGCCTCCAAGATGCTACTGCAAAGCAAGTTAATAAAGCCCATCAGTCACTAACAGAGAGTTGTAGGACATGCTGCAGCGATAACAGATGATTTTCCATATCTGACCAGTAACATTTCTTCAGTATAGCCTACAATGCTTGTACAAGTGACGAGTTACTTGAAGTTTAAAAAGTAATTCCATCATTCATGCTGTAAAAATCAGAGGAAAACAACAAGAGTAGCAACTAGTTAATCACATTAGATAATGGAATTGTGAATGTACTGGCAGCTTGCCAGTATTTATTCTGCCCAGGGAAAGGCCAAAATTTGGACTAGTACTCATGAACCACTTCCACTTAATTTTTGTGACCTCCTTGACATCATGGCCCTCAGTTGAGAAATGGCTCTCTAAAGCATCTGGTGGTAGCTTTTGTTAGAACAGTTTATTGCTTTCATCTGGCACAACATCTGGCTTCTGTATTTCAGAAGCAGTGGCTCCTTGGTCACATTTACAGAACATTTAGGCTCTGACTGTGAACAGCATTTAGGCATAAAATCCTTATCCTAACTGATGTCAGTAAGCAACACTGACTGTGTTTTTGGAACCCCGTTCATTGTGCTTTCAGATCTTTCTACAGTAAGTGAGAAAATTTTAACAGGGCTGTAAAATAAAATTAAACTGATTATTTGTACTGTTACTGTGTAATTTACTCTTAGGTAAATTTAAGTTTCTTCAACTGCTTCTTCATTTCTTTCTTTTTTCAAGATGTACTTCAATTCTACATTAACAGACTCCTCAAAACTTCTGAAACCACTCTTGGTCTTTGCTTTTATCATCTGTGGAATTATATGCGGTCTGACTCGTATCACCCAGTATAAGAACCATCCAGTTGATGTTTACTGTGGCTTTCTGATAGGAGGAGGAATTGCCCTCTATTTGGTAAATATAATAGTCATAGTTAAGTTTTAGCAAATAAAACTGATAAGGCTATAATAAGAGTACTATTATTTTTTATGAAAACTTTTCATCATTGCACATGGCATAGTTATAAATGTAGTCAAATGTGTTGAAGATGATGTGTTAGGGACAATCACTTTAAAAGCAAACAGGAAAAAGCAAATATGTATTTCAATGTAAAGTGACAGTGCACAAAGTGGAATATAATCATCTGGCATTGTATAGAGAAACAGCTCTAACCTCATGTGCTTCATTAAATACTTAAAAATACTCATCTTTTCTACTCCACACTTAAGAGCATAACACAAGAAAAAATACTGGATTAATTGGTATTTGTTGCTGACCTAAGTTTGTATTACTTATGTTAGCTTTATGATCTGAAAAACTTATTGAATTAGTACCAGCAACTCAGCTGAGTAAATTGCTTAACCTGCAAGAAATCAAAGGCAATATGATGCCCTTGCGATTCTTTGGAGCTCGTAGGGAAATAATGCAGGAGAAAGAGGAATGGGTAAACCACGTTATTCCTATGCTTTTCCTCTGTACTGGGTCGAAACAGATGGAGCACCTTGGAAGGGTCCTGAAAGGAAGTAGGTAGGATAGGCCTGTTTGTATCTGTGAGTAGGAAGGTCATCAAGCATTTGCTTTTGCTTGCTGCTCTCAGTATGTATCCAACAGGAGTGCTGCTGCCCTAGCTGCTCAGCACAGCGTCAGCCCAGGTGGCTGTGAGCAATCAGACCTTCTGCTGACACCATTTTTGCTTGAGTGTGAGCAGGTGAACAGCAGAGTATTAACAGCCAGTGGGATGGTTTTGATCCCCAAGAAGTCAGTGATAAATTTTAGTATCAGACTAAAATAAATTAATTTCCTGTCCCCCTTTTTAATGTGATAACATAACCTAAGGCACATGCAGAATGTCTGCAAAGGTGACTAGGGGAAAAATGGCCTTCACAGGGCCAGAAGAAACAGCAGCCAGGGTAGTAATAGAAACCCCATGAGCTACTAAAGTCAGTTCTTATGATTGCACTGTGAGCAGAAAGGTACTTCATTGAGAATATTATTTCAAATGATTAAGCTGTTCTAGACTCTCATAAATGGAGTTGTTGTTCTCATGTTTGAAATCCGCAAACAAGTATGCTCTTTGTTAGGTCTTCATATACTGTTGCATGACAACATACATCAGGGAGCACATTGTCCTAGATACCCAGGAGTCAGTAAATCTGCCCTGAAAACTACACACCAATAAGAGGAAGGGAGGGGAAATGATGTGAAACTACAAATATTTCCGAAAGGAGTGTAAAGAGCAAGTAGCTCAAATGACTGAGTCAGATATTTGATCCTTTCATAGAATATCCTCAGTGGAGTCTTTTTTAAATGACAGCATTTTGCAGTGAGTTTGCTGATTAAGAAAATGCTGTATAACTAAATCTTATTACAGTTCTGAGCAGCTTGGAAAGCAATTGATTTAAAGTTGATAAATTGTTCTATGATGTAGATATTGTATTACATGGTTATTATGGAGTAGAAAGGGCAGAATCTGTTACAGCAGAGAACAACTCAAGCTGTAACAAGATGCAGTAAATCAGAGTAGACAGTAGTATAGTTGTAAAATAGCTTTGCCTGAGAGACTGCAAACATCTGTTTTGTTATTTTCCTAACAAAACATTATTTCTGTAGCTGTATCTGCTGCTTTATAAAATGAAAAAAACCTGATGGAGGCTAAATCTTTTCCTCAACTATTTATTGCCGTGAATGATATGCCCCAGTTATTCTAGTGAGGCTACTTCAAACATACCTAGGTGTACCAGATTCAGGACAGAATGCCCTGTCAGTTTAGGTGGAGTAATTATGTCACTCAATATCTATTTAAAGGCAGAAGAATGTAATTAAAATACTGTAAAAACTGTCTTTTTTCCATAACTGATTGTTGATGCTTCTGTTCAATTATCAGGGCCTGTATGCTGTGGGGAACTTCTTACCAAGTGATGAGAATGTGTTTCACCCAAATTATCACAGAGAACCTCTAAGGTCTTTGACAGACCTCAGCCAAGATGCCAACAGAATCCTGCCAGGTAAAAATGGTAGCAGCAGTGATGGCATTGTCTCTCACCGTACAGAAAGTATTCTGAATAGAAACCACAGAGATTCAGGGTCTCTGACCAATCTCAAGAGAGCAAATGCTGATGTAGAAATAATAACACCACGAAGCCCAATGGGAAAGGAAAACATGGTTACTTTCAGCAACACTTTGCCAAGAGTCAATACACCGTCCTTGGAAGATCCAGCAAGACGAAATGCAACAATACATGCGTCAATGGATTCTGCCCGTTCCAAACAGCTGCTTTCCCAGTGGAAGAACAAGAATGAAAATCGAAAGTTGTCACTGCAAGTAATAGAGACTGAATCAGGCCAGTCACCACCAAGGGCTATTGAAATGAGGTCAAGCTCAGAACCCTCCAGAGTGGGTGTAAATGGTGATCATCATGGCCCAACTAGCCAATACCTGAAAATCCAACCCGGCAGTGTACCAGGTTGTAACAACTCAGGTCTTACTGGTGGGCCAAGGGTCTCTATTCAGTCGCGTCCTGGCTCATCCCAGCTAGTACATATTCCTGAAGAGACTCAGGAGAACGTGAACACATCACCCAAAACTAGTTCAGCTAGAGCTAAATGGCTGAAAGCTGCTGAGAAGAGTGTTGCATGTAGAAGCAATAGCCAGCCAAGAATCATGCAAGTAATAGCCATGTCTAAGCAGCAAGGAGTGCTTCAGGGCAGTCCAAAGAGTTCAGAGGGAAGCACAGTCACCTGTACAGGAGCTATCAGATATAAAACCTTGACAGACCATGAGCCAAGTAGTATTGTTAGAGTTGAGGCCCATCCAGAAAATAACAGACCTGTAATTCAGATGCCATCAGAAGGTGAAGGAAGTGGGTCATGGAAATGGAAAGGTCCTGAAAAAGTTACCCTTCGTCAGACGTATGAGCTAAATGATCTTAACAGAGACTCTGAGAGCTGTGACTCCTTAAAAGACAGTTATGGGTCAGGTGACAGGAAAAGAAGCAACATAGATAACAGTGAGCATCACCATCATGGAATCACTACAATAAGAGTCACACCAGTGGAGGGAAGTGAGATTGGCTCAGAGACTCTGTCCATTTCTTCTAGCCGGGACTCAACACTTCGAAGAAAAGGTAACATCATTTTAATCCCTGAGAGAGGGAGCAGTCCAGAGAACACCAGAAACATCTTCTATAAAGGCACATCCCCCACACGAGCGTACAAGGAATGAAAGGAGACATATCAGCTGGTCCATACCACCACAAAGGAAACACATCTTGACGCAGGTTCTTCTCTCTGTTTTGAGCTGATATTTACCTTTACGTGCCAAATTACTGACCAGCACTGCTGATCTGCAATGTGCATGAGCCTGTGGAAAGCATGTGGTGGGGGGAAAAGCACAATGCCAGAACTAATGTGAAACATTTTCATGTAACTTGTTTCTTCAGACTCAAAATATTTATCCGAGGGTGATGATGTCAATCAAAACTATGGTCTTGAACACAGACACTGTATTTCCTGAATGTGCCAACTTTTTATTTTATATTTGTGTCCAAAATTGACTTTTTCACAGCAAAGGCTGTATCAGTGGTATATATTCACCTTTGCAGAATTTGCACCAAATCTTTAATACAGGATGGTGCTGATGATAACTTTACATGTTTTGAAAAATTGCATACTTATTAGACTCTGCAAACATGACATATTGATGTGCAGTTACTTTAAAAGTAATATTGCTAATACTATGATGATGCTGGCTGCATTCATTTAGCGTAGGAAATATTTACAGCTTTGTTATAGTGGATCTGTCACATTCAAAGATTGCAAAGGTTTTGTGTAGTTCTTTAAGATGTCTACTGCAACAAAAAACGTGTGGGTGACATTCCATTAGAATGGAATGACTATCTATTTTGAATAGTTTTGCTGCTACTGCTCAACTTTTGTTTAAGAACAGGTGCTACTAATGAAGAGGCTGCTTCTTAGTGGGCTAACTTGTAGAATTGTTTGAAATTATGTTTTTTAAGGGGTCTTATAAAGTACTACCAGTAATTAAAATTTTACATTTTTAAACTTCCTATTCTGTCCTTCAGTGACCCTTCCATTTTTCTATAAGTTTTTAACCGTATAATGCGGGATGCCAATAACTGCAAGATGTGCAAATGTGAAGGGTGAGCCACGAATAAATAAAAATAAACAGCCACTTTCCTGACCAACTTCCAGAGCGACAGGAATTAATATAGCTCACACTTAGAAGCAGTCATTCACCTCACTTGCTTAGTATGCCACAAGAACAATCACAAGTTTCACCCCGATCACCATCATTTAGGGGATTTATGCTTCGCTTTAGGAAACGGAATGCCTTGGTATTGCAGAATCACCGAATGAGTGTTGCATTGTGCCACTTCTACTGTTCACCTCCCTTGAGACACCCTCCAGAGCCTTTTTAAGCATGATATTTTTTTCCCATCACTGCCACTTAAGAATATGAAGGGTCTCTGCACCTGAGAGAACATGGATTATTTTAGAAAATTGAGTTTTGAATATAATGGAAGAACTTGCCTGCTAAACATCTACATTGCCAAAAATTGTTGAAAGGATAAGCTCTAAAAGGAATAAGCGTAGCATGTCCCGGGCATGCTAGAAGAAATGCCTCACTACATTTGGCTCTGACTTAAACCATGAAGGAGTCCAGGGGCAGTGCTCGCCCACTGCAGCTCCTCATTCTCTCCTGTTTCTGCCTGAAAGGGAACTGCTATCAGGCACCTCCCAGCTCCTGTGCTAGGAGTGGGAGGGCATGACTTAGTAGTCCTCTCACTGTATAAGTAGTAGCAGATCAGGTCTGTTCTCTGGCTTCATGAGAGGAATATTTTTGGTCTAAGTCCTCTTCTGATTTAGGGTATCAGAGAACTAGATACATAGTACATAGTCAGAACCTGTCTACAGACCCTACCCCACAGAACTCTAAGGGAAAGCCCACCCTACCCTAGCCAAGTAGGAGGTAGAAGGAAGAATCATCCCATTGCAGAAGATAAACAGCACAACACACACACAGAGACCAAAAAAACCCCAAACCCAACCCCAAAAAACCCTCAAAACCAAAACAAAATCCCAAACCCAAACCTAAGTAATTTCATAATATGTATAGAAGAAAAGATTCAGAGTCAATGGAAAGCTTTATATACTTTCCCAGTTTTACAGGTGCTCCAGGCTTAGCTGGGTGCTTTCTGTCTGCCAATTGTGCCAAGCAATGCATCCCTCACCTGCCCATCACCCAGTGCTGTGGAAGAGTATTGGTCCTTAAAGAAAGGACCAAACTCCTCCTGCTAGTGATAGAAGATGACCCCATCATCCTTATGATGACTGGGAGAAAGTATTCTGCAGGTTACATGTAAGAAGCTATCCAGTAGGGTTGCAGCATATTGTGTGTGTTACAGGCACAGTGTGTTGAAGACATCCTTTAAGGCACATTAGCTGGGAAAAATAGTGGTAGATACCAGGAGAAAAAAAGGAAAAAAATTTACTTTTTTTAGAAATAAGTTCTCAGATTCAAGTATTTACGAGTCAGGATTTTTTTTCTTTTCAAAAGGATGAATCTTTAGTCCTTGGTATTTAATATCAAATTTTATACAAGATTCCTAGGAATTATAAACACTTGGACTGTCATGAACAAAACCCTTTGGATTTAGTTTAGTCTAGGTACATGATAAAGCAGGTAGGATTAGCTTTAAAGGAATGGGTAAGACACGAACACTGTTGGCTTATCAATGCAGGGAAATAAGATGCAATCGTTTGTTAGTTTGTAAGTGCAGGGGAAAAGAACATAAGTAGATGAACCTGGAAATAATGGAAAATTGAAATGGAGAATAATGGCAATAAAGCAAAGATTAGAAAATGTTCCCTCTGGCGATTTAGCTGTTTTGGAAACAGCAGGATTCCTGGTGGGAGTGTTTGTTCTTTATTCCTTGGTTTTAGTCAGATATATATTGGCATATATGTTGCTTTTATTACTCTTAAACTTGCTGCACTATTTCAAGTGCAGTGTGATATTTTTCCTAAGGTTTCCTATTTCTTAAGAAAAGATTTTAAAGCTCTTGTGTAATCATTGAAATTGTGTTCTATACATAAATATTGATATATTCTTTTTTACTCAAAGTGCCAAAGGCTACTGTTTTTAATAATGGCTTATCAAATTATATTACGTTAGAGAGCAGAAATGTAATAATATATACATTGGAACTCAGACCTCTGCATGTATATTTGATAAGGAGCCTTTTGTAAAATTACTCTTTGTTTACATTCCACTGGTACCTTAATTTAAAATTAATCAAATAAATTGACAGGTGACATCTTCTTAGTGTTCTGATTTTCTTACTTGCTAACAGGCACGAATTTCTTTGTTAGGCTGTGCTTTACTGAGAAAAGAAAATACTCAAAATATGTTTTTAAATGAGAATTCTCTATATAAAGTATTGTGTTTAATAAAATGTTATGCAATGTTTTCAAATGGAAAAGAATTTGTAAATTGCTATAAATGTATTTTGTTAAATAAGTACAGATCAATGCTACTGTGTGAGTTTATTGTGCTAACATCATGAAATAAAGATAAAATTCCTCATTGATGTTTAGTCATCTCTGTGGTGAAGCAAAGTCTCATTCCCGCTCCAGATTATTTTTTGGTATTAGGTATCTCATGGTATGGAAAAATGGTCATCAGTAGGACACCTTGAGACCTTGCACAGTTTTAAGAAATTATAAGGTGGTGTCCAAACAAGCTTGTCTCCATTCAAAAACATTTTATAAAATGAGAAAGCAAGTGAATTGGGAACTTTAGGCCATGTGAGAACACGTCTGGTAGATCATTCTGCAGCACCAGCTATATTGCTAAGCCCCTAATGCCTCTAAGCTACCCTGCTAGTGTAGGCTAGAGCTGCCAGACATGGTGAGGCCAGCCTTGGGTTTGTGAATGAGAAGAGAGCAGATGTCAGGAGCAAACCTGAGGACAGGCTCTCCCCAGGGGAAGGAGTTAGGATGCAGGGGGCATCAGGTGGCATACACCCTTTGCTGCCAAGAATGAAAGACATTATGTGTAGCAGCATGCTGACAAATGCCATCTTACTTAGAAGCTGCATAAGGTATGTGTGCTAAGCAAACAGCAAAGATAGTCTCCAAGTCTGTCTTGAAACAGGGCAACAGCAGGCCCCTAAGTGCCTGGGATGTAAGGCACAGCTGTAGCTAAGCCATGTACCAACATTGCCAGTGGCATAATAAGGACCACAGGGACCAGCAGAGCCTCTGCAATGGCAACACAGGAAACTGAGAAGCTTCCCCATGTGTGCCTGGGCTTTGTGCAAGCTGCCACATTGTACTTGCATGTCCTTCTGGCAAGTAACCTGTGATGGCTGGGGTGGGACTGGGCTGCTGATGACTCCAGCCAGGCACTGCACTGCTGTGTTGTACAACAACATCATACATGTGCTGTGCTCCCAGCAAAGGCATGTGAGGATGGGCTCATACCACCCTGAGCTGTGGTGCAGATCTGGGTCACTTGGAAATCCCTGTCCCAGGACTTACTTGACAATTTAAGATGGGGGCACTCAGGCAAAACAGAATCGAAAAACAGTATGTTGTGTCTCAAAGAAAGGGAAGTGTATGTACAGTTGTGATACTATTCCCTCTATGGTGACTGAAGGAGCTCTCTTCTTGTGGCTGGGGCTGGAGAACATCCTGATCCCACAGCATGAATAGACAGTTTTGGGAGAGGCCTCTCCTTTGGCCAGCAGCAAATGCTGCTCTGGCAGTGTGTTATCTGCCCAAGGTTATGGTGTCCCATTCTCTGGGACACATATTGGTAACTTGGGAAAGCTACTGGCAGCAATGTTTCAGATATGGTTCAGAGAGACCCTGGGAAGGAGTGCGAGAGTGTCAAACAGCAGCCTAGGGTATGGCTGCTGACAGCTGACCTCTAATCCAAACCTGCTGAATTCTCTGGGAATGACCCCTACCCATGGATGACAAAGGGGCCTAGACAATTAGTTCAAACATTTTAAAAGACACATTTTAAAATTCTAAAATTAGGCTAAAAACAAAGTTCCCCTCTGAAGGGTACCTTTGATGTAGAGGTTATCTTATAAAATTTGATCTATTGTCATATTCTCTTAGACCATTCTGGCTACAGCAACACTGTCACTAAATTAAGAGAGCTCACTGTAATCCAGATTGATGACTGTATCTGATCATGCAAAGGAGTTTTCAAAGGTATGATTGATTATACCAAAACTTAAATGTATTTTATGCTGGATTTTAAAAGAGCTTCAGAGGTCTCGATATAAGAAGTCCCGTAAAACAAGACTGTACTGTAATCTGTTTGGTATAGATTTATGAAGACCTTTAGTGTGACAGATCAGTGCACAGCTAATTTGGCAGGAGCATTTTAATGGCATTAGAACCCTGGTTCATAAAATCATGAATAAAATCTCCACACAGACTTTATAGCACAGAATGTATCAAGCACTGGACAAAACTTGCAGGTGTCTCCATATAGCACATTCAAAATGAAAGGGAACTCCAGCTGTATGCACGTGCATACAAACACACACACACACCACAAAGTTTACTTATTCAAGCAAGGGTCTATAAGGAGAAAGCTAAACAGATTATTTAAATCAAGGAACAAATTGTGACAAGGCTGGAAATTCTCTCTCTAAATGTTTTCCTGCTTTGCCTGCAGTCATCTCTTCAGACATTCCCAATATGCATAAAGACATCATTTAGTTATACCTCCCATATATGAAATCTGTTTCTCTAGTGGTTTTGGCATGAAGGATAATAGGAAACTTGCACATTCAATGGCTCTACCAGCACAGCCCTGTTAAAAATAAAAAATAAAAATAAAAAAAAAAAAAAAGAGCTAAGATGAGAACTTAGCCAGAACCAGAACAGTCTGCTCAGACCTGGAAAGCACCTCTCATGTCT